AACAGCCCTAATTAAAACCTAGTTTATGAAATCTCTAGATTTCATTTTTAATTACATGTTTTTTCCCAGAAGCTGGATGTATTACTAATTATCTCAGGTAAATGTTTCCTATTAACCAACAGCAGAAATACACCAAGACATCTTAATTACTACATTCTTTATAGATACATGGTTACTGTGAAATAAACTTAAATCAGGGGTGTCCAAAGTGTGGTGCAGGTGCCTTTTGTGGCTCTGAATGGTTTTGAGTGGCTCCTCTACCAATATTCTTGTAGAGTAGCAACAAAAGCATGGCATCATGGCGACCTAATGTCAGGTATCTGCAGCTCACCTGGGTTCTTGGCAGCCTCAATGGGTTCTGCAGTCAGGTTGATGTCCGGACTGAAGTCCTTCTGCTCGTCTCCTTCCACTCTGAACTGAACTATATATTTCATCTTCACTTGGTCAAGAGAGTAAACCACATACTCATCATCCTGCAGTGCAGACAGAAAACAGAAATCAGTTTCCTCAGGGTGCAGCAGAACTTTAACATGCTGAACATGCGATGGATATGCAGCTTCTGTTCCCACCTCAAATTCAGATGTAGTTTTGTTGGTTTGTCTGACTCCGTGAACACTGTGGTAGCCCTGAGGAGCCTCGGTCAGAGTCAGGTCTCTCTTATAGAGGTTCTTACAAACCCCCAGAGCCACATCACAGACCAGCAGGAAGCGCGATCCGTCTGTCTCGCTGGGTTTGGCGTACTTCAGACTGGTGCTGAGAACACAGAGAGAACCCAGAGCGCAAAATGCTAACCAGAACATCTTAAACTGTTCCAACGTCGTCATTTTCACACCAATAAACATACAAGATGGATGAAGTTTGTTTTCAAACCAACCTCACAGCATCACCGAAGTAAATCCCGCTGCCAAGGTTCCCGACGTCCGTTCTCGTAATCCCATGATGCTCCACTCCCACATGGGGAAGCAGCAGACCTCTGAGGAGCCAGATACAGGGTCAAACTCGTGTTTTCACACTTAAATGAAACTTTAACTTTAACATTGTTTGTTGACTTTTACTAAACATAAACATTAGTTCTGCTAAAGCTCTAAACCATCACTGGATTTACTGGAAGCTAATGCTAAAGCGCTACACCAACCTCGTATTTGGTGGAAACTAATGCCAAATCATAAACATAAAACCCAATAAATAAATACAAAATAAATAATATATATATTTTTTTTATTTTATTTTTATTTTTAGCTCTGCCCCCCTAAAATCTTTACTGTCCTGGTCTGGACACTCTTATGAAAATTTTCTGGTCACCTGGACATGATTCCTACAAAGTTACTGGGGCTGGACGAATGGAGGAGGGGCTTAACGTTGCCAATCTTGCTCTGAAACGTTTCAAGCTCCACCACCCTGCTGACGCACATGATCTGCTGGATCTGCACCGACCTGAAAACACAGAGATGTTTGCAGTTTTATTTCCAGATCTGTAGTTTTTTTTATTATTAATTTGATAACGGACCTGTCAGCCAGCAGGGCGGCGACATTCTGAAACACCGAGCTGCTGCGGGGAATGGCTTCGATGTGGCAGCGAAGAGCGCGGTACTTCCCCACGGAGGACGGCTTCGGGTTGTTCATGGTCATCTCGCCCACATTCAGAACATCTCGGATTAACTGGAGGAAAATCAATCAATCAAGTTAGCCAAGGACTGAGGACCACCAGGGGGCGCTAGCTACAAGGTTGGAGGGAAGAGGAGAAAAGAAATTAGCTGCAATAAATATTAAATAGGTCACAATAAGAAATAAATTACCATATTTTCCAGAATATAGAGCGCACCAAATTATAAGCCGCAGCTATAAATTTTTTTTGGAAAAAAAAAAAGAATAAAACTGGAAATGTACATAAGCCGCACCGGGTTACAAGTCGTTAGTATCTCCATTGCTCTTGGGTTTCCATAAGGACACAGCAGAGGGCCACATCATAATAAATATGCTGGATTTATTAAGGACGCAGTCCTCCATCTGCAAAGCCACACCGTAGTTTCGTTCATGCCAAGCTTACGTGCAGCGGCTCTATTTCCTTCCTGTACTGCCAGACCAATACTCCTCAACATAAAAGCTGCATCATATGAATTTGCATCCGTTTTGAATTTCCGTCCGTTTAGTCTAAACAAATGTAATAACTATTAAATAGTAAGAAAAACGGATTCTAATGTTGATGTGTCTTTACATATTTTGTAGCATATCCAACCAGAAGCTAATGCTAATCAAAGTCTTTGGGAATCTCTGGGGTAAAAATCCCACCATAAAGCTGCGTGTTGGTGTTACCTGACAGAGGTCCAGCTTCTGAGACAGAAACCTGGCCGTAGGTGACTGAGGTCTGGGCTCCCGGTGAGGCAGCAGGGTGAAAACCTCATCCAGGAGAGACGAAGCCTCATCCTCGTTTCCCTCCTTCAGTTTCCTCTGAGCCTGAAGCAGAAGGCCTTCAGCTCTGCTCACCTGAAACAGCAACAGCTACATCAGGACGGAGCCTCGGATCTGACCCTGATCTGACTGCAGATCGGTGCAAACCCACATCGTTCAGGCTGAGACCGGAGATGGGAACTCTGAGGATGTTTTCAAGGCAACCGAGAGCTTCGGTCCACAGCAGCTCCACAAACGCCGCAACGTCAGGGGACAACTCACCGGAGTTCAGCTTCTCCTCCAGCAGCAGCTGAAGGACATTCAAAAAGAACATCAGAAACATCAAGGTCAGCAGGTGATTAAAGGTGACCTACCTGAACAGGTTAGGATCATACAAAACATGTTCATTACACTTAAATGTGCAAAATCATTCTTTGATAATGACATTGTTTTAGAGCCTCCTGTCACTTTACATCCAAATAATTTGCTTCTGATCACATCCCCCAACACAACATTTACACTCAGACAGGAAAATGGCTGCAAACAGATGTACAATTATTGAACCATGCATTTTTGAAAAGCAGAAGTGGAGCCTCCTTCACAACCAACAATAATGCAGTAATAGTTTCTGGATGGTAAATCAACAACCAAATTCTTGTCTTTTCCAGCAGCCATTGTACAACACTGCAATGAAACCAGCTGACCAAATGTGCTGGAGCTCCTCTTGGGTTGCTAGGTGACAGGCGGAAGTCTGTTGGGGTTGCTAGGTAACAGGCACCGCCTGCTGATTTGTGACTATATAGTCAGAAGGTTTTTGAAATGGCTCATTTTCCAGACACAAGAAACTTGGGTTTCTTGGGTCATTGCCAAAAACTCATTGCCAAGAAACAGTTTTTATAACTCTTAGAAGCAGTTTAGACCCAAGTGCAAGAGCAAAAATGTGAATTTTGCACAGTGTTGTACATTTCGGTTAATACTGCTGTTATGGCAGATAACTGATTTAAATGATGTGTCGTGGTTGTTTGAAAAAGCAGGAAGAGGAGGCACTGAATGTTGTTCAGGCTGTATGATGCCACATGTGGAGCAGCGTGTATCAGACCTGCTCCAGGGGGGCGGAGCCCAGGTGTGGCGCCTCAGCAGGTAAGCCGCTCATCCTCTGCAGCTCAGAGCGCTCCAGTTCTTCACTCAGCTCCTTGTAAACGTCCACAGCTTCTTCTGAGGTGGACAGGAACACCAGCTGATCCATCACAGCCGCCTTCTGTTGGAAAAACCATTTAAGACCGTTTTATTCCAAGATGATTTTAAGGAAAATCCAGGAGGCAAAAAGCAGAAAGATTTAAGGAATAAGTCAGGGACTTCTGATCTTATTCAGTTTTTGTTAAAGACATCAAATATTTGGATCATTATGCATCTGTTGAAGTGGAACACTGAAAGGATGAGAAAAATGCAGAATTTTATTATATATGCTGGATTAAAACAGGCATTACGTTCTCCAAATGTCAAATTCCTTTGTTTTAAAGTCCTACTGAAAATATCAGTAGGATATTTTTTTCACACATGAGCCCTGACAGTATGATAAAGAATTAGGATCATAAGAACAAATAATTAAAAAAAATACTTTATCCTCCTGAGAACCGAAGAAAAAAAGTGTCTTCCAATTTCTGTTTTTTTTTTTTGTGATTTCCTACCTATTTAGGCCAAAATGAACACCTTAGGATTTTATTTTTTAATATATATTTTTATTAAAATTTTACAGCATTGTAAATTGTAGTGGACATCAGGACCATTTCAGTCTAAATTATGACAGAATAAAAAAATTGAATATTGTACAGATAACTGTTTAATAAATCACATTAACCCAACAAGAGGTCAAATTTGAAAAACACATTTAATAATCAGAAGTTATCCATTTTTGGTTGCAGTCTATTGCTTGTTACTTGAAATAAAAACTAAAAATGGCTGCAAACTGCAGGGGTGTCGCTAAACACTATTACTCAAGAAAAAAATTACTTTATTTATTTTTACTTAATTAATTGTTTACTTTTTATTTATTTTGAACATGACAGAAATATAAAATACATGAAGAAGGACTTTCTTCAGAATATCAGCACACATGGACTATCTTGGCTTTCCCAGAGTCAAAGTCTTCTGGACTAAAAAATCAAAAGCACCAGTTATTAGCAAGAAAATGATGAGGAATAAGTTCTGAAAACTTCTCAAAGGGTCTTCCAGCAACTGGAACCAATAAGATGAACCAAAGAATACCAAAGCCACACCCATTACCAGAAGATGGGCCACTGTGAACAGAAAGTGGTTTGACGATGAACCTGTGCTGATGGCCTCCATCATTTATGGGTAAGACCTAAACAATATTTGCAGTCGATGGTCAAACAAAGAAAAAAACTTGTGTCCATGATCTTTAGGACCAAATGTTGGTCATAGAGATCCAACATTTGGTTCTTTATGGCCAAATGTTGAGCTTTCATCGAATGTCGACCAGAACCAGGAAATGGACATTCCCATCACAGATGCCTGGCCCTAAACAAACATACAAATTAATTCTGGCCCACCTAGTAGAGCGACTTTCCTGCTCTCTCTCTGGTTCTGATGGTGCGTTCACACCAAACGTGTTTTGACCAGATGGACCAACAGCGTCCTGCTGGTGTATTTATCAGCTAGAGATGTACATCTCTAGTTAGAGAAATGCCAAATGTCAAAATGCCAGGCAGATTTCCTTTTGCCTCCACATAGACATTCAAAGTCTATGTGGAGGCATGTTGAGGGCCATGGAGGAGCGTTCAGAGCATCTAGTGTGGCACTATTTGAACCGTTTGGACTGTTTTCATGATGTTCCACATAGACTGTGAATGTAAACCAGACGCACCTGATGATCAAAACACTTTTGGTAGGAATGCACCAAAAGTGCACACGTGTCAAATTTAAAGTGTCAAGTGCGTTTTTGACATGCGTAACGCGTTTGGTGAGAACGCACCATGAGTCTGTTTCTTCATCAGATTGTCCTGGATCTGATGAAGTTCCCTACCAGAGGCTGATATTTATTATCCTCATCTTCATCTGACAACTCCAGATCTGAATCGCCCTCTACCATCTTGTGGAGAATCCTGTTTCACTTCTTTCTCCTACAACAATGTGGAGTCATTAAATACACTAAAATAGTCCTGATGTCCATTATAATTGACATTCAGAAAATGTCTGTTATTTCTAAACAGAATTTATTAAATTGTTTTTACTGGTCAAAATAGTATTAATTGGTATTTAATTAACAAGAATATAAATAAATACCATGACAAAAATAAAAGAAAAAAAATATTTGACTCGTCTACCCTCTTTCCGTAAAATGTGGTTTCTGGCAGGTAGGCCATTTTGATTTAGGAAAAAAAGGGACTTCCCGGTATGCAAACCTATCACATGACACATCCCTGGAAAGCCCATGATGTCCTCTAAAGAGTACTGTAGGGCTAGAAAGGGTAACTCATAGTATGAACAAAAAATAAGGTTCAACAAAATGTCCATTATAATGGACGTAGGTTTATGGGCCGGTTCTCAGGAGGATATTGAGAATAAAGCCATAGAATTACAAGAAACAAGTCAAAATAATAAGAAAATAGTTATACAAGAAAGTCAAAATATTTTAAGAATTATTTGTAGTAGTACCAGAATAAAGTCATAGTATTATCACTTTATGGTTGTAATCTTATGACTTTATTGTCTTAATTTTATTTATTTCTGATTTTCTTAGTATGGCCCTAATTCTCCGTCGTACTGACGGAGCAGGGCTCGTGTTTTACTGTCCGTCTGATGTCTTAATGGTTTCATACATAGACATTAATCTTTTTACATGTCTATGGTTTCATACCTTCGACGCCACGTTGTCCTTCCGGTATCTGGCCACACGGTAGCGCCGTCCCTGCTCGCCTTTGGCGCTCTGCAGCTCCAACACGCAAAACCTGCTGCCGTTCTCCTGCAGACAAACCTCCATCAGTACGAATCCCAGCATCAAAACAGAAATGGAGGATAAAACTTCTTCCTCACCTGTCCGAAAACGGAGTACTTCGCCACCTGGAAATCATCGGGGAACGTCGGGAGAGCAGAGTCCGACTCCTTGTAGATTCTGGGTAAATTAATGAATTGAGGGTTAAATGACAACTTTAATTTCTTGCTAATTATTTACTATAAACTCTGGGTGACCAACTCCAGCCTCAATATCGATAGTTTGATCTGCAGTATCTCTAATAAGTTAATAAGAGAGCTCCCCTTTGCCCTGTGTGGAGGAAGCTACCGGAGAAGACAGGATCAACGTTAGCTCCGCCCACTAGCTAACGACGGCTAACGCTCATGAAATTAAGAGATATTTCAGACCAAAGTAGAGATATAGAAGTCATTTATCCTCACCTAGAAATGTGGTAAATAAACTGAAACAATTTAACTACACTATCGAAATTAGTTTTTGCACTTTCCGGCGAAAATGTTGACTTTAGAATCATAGCTAACTGAATCATTTCTCTTTACTTGTCGTTTCAAGCAGCCAATCAGACTTCAGGGTTTCTATATGAATCGCTTTACTTCCGCCAACTGAGTAAGATGGCGCAGGTTGACAATTTAATTTAAAGAACGTTAACAAATTATTAAATCATAAGACAACTATAAAAACACTTATTTAAGGGACATATAATCAATTCTATATTTAATAATTTATTTCCAGTTAAAAAAAAGAAACTAATGATTCATTAAAATAATCATTTCATTAGTTATTTAGTCATTATAATTTCACTCTCCAAATCCCCTTTAGCCGTTATTGTAGCTTTTAATCTAAATCTCCCCTGTGAAAGTCAGATAAAAAGACTTAAACTCAGATTAAGCCTGAAGTTTGGATGATGATGATGATGATGATGATGATGATGGTCCCACCTAAACTTCTGATTGTTTTTTTCAACAGCTGGTCCCTCTGAGGAGGTGGGACCTTTTGGAGGCTCAGCTACAACAAACAGAAACAACATTAGACACAGAAACACAAAGTCTTAACTACAAGTTTTTTAGATAAAGATTGTTTAATAAAAATGCTACGGTGACCCTCAGGTCCAAAACACACCTGTCTTTATACTGAGGAAGAAAAAATGTCAAAATTAAATTCCTGTCAGTCTCTAAACCTTCACAAATGATTGTACTTCTTGTAGCCCTTCTACAATATCTTTGTACATGTTTTGAGACCTTTATAAGTTAACAGAGGTCTCTTCCAGGGAGGAGGAGGATCTGGAGATGATGAAGTGTCCATCTTGTACTCGTCCACAGACAGAAGAACGCCTCTCTCCACACTTTTATGCAGATAATCCAAGCCAACCACTGGCGTCTGGTTCTTCTGGATGCTGCGCAGCCTGTTGGAGCTCAGGTTGGACAAGTCGGAGGTCACCACCAGAGAGCACTGTGGGAAATGGAGGCAAAAATGTGACCCTGAATTTCTAACTTTAAAGTAATTGGCCAATAAATCCAATTTGGTACAAAGCTCTCAATAAGTATTGAAATGGATATCATAAAAATAGAACATTTTTATCTCAGCATGCCAAACTGAAGTGTTAATTTTAAATCATAAATATGTTAACATTCTAATTTTATTCCATATTTTTGAAAACCACAACTGAGAGCCAAGCTAAAGGCTATGAAACGGGTCAAGAAACCAGCTATTAAGGGTACAGTCAAACGCTACTAAGTGTAAAGTTACAGCTTCTAAATGTGAAGCTAACAGCTACTAAGTGTAAACCTTAAAGCTACTAGATGTTTAAGAGATTTATTAAGAGTAAAACTCACAAATACTCAGAGCAAAGCTAATAGTTACTAAGCATAAAGCTAACAGCCTCTAGGCGTGTAGCTAAGTGTAAAGCTAACAGCTACTAGGTGTAAAGCACAAAATATAAAGCTGACAGCTAATACAAGTTCAACCAACACATACCAAGGGTAAAGCTAATAGCTACTAAATGTAAAGTCAACAGCTACTAAATGTAAAGCTAATAGCTACTAGTATCAGCCATCAATCCAGATGTTGTCATCCTATTAGCTACTAAATTTAAAGCTAATAGATAAGCAGAGCATGCAATTTAAAGTTTAGATAGCACAAGCTAGCAGTTACTAAAGCTATTAGATATTTTGAGCTACTTAAGCTAACCACTTTTCAGAGTCTGGTTTATTACCTATAAATCTTTTATTATCTGGTTTATTAACGAGGTTAAAGTTTGTCATTAATAGTTTACCAAAATGCTCAGGTAAAAATCAATCTTCCCACCTGTTTGTTGACTATGAAAGAAATGCTGCCTCCATTCAAAGTCACTATTGATTTCAGCTTCTTCTTCTCCTTGAAAGGCAGGTTTTTGAGCTCCAGAAGAACTGAGCAGTTGTCAAACACACCCATGCTGCCTGAAGAGAGAAAAACAAACAATAGTTAAAATCAAACAAGAAACAGATCTCCAATTTTTCCAGTTCTCTAATCATTCAGTCAGGCAGTCTAGACTCACCTGCCCTTCACAAACCATATCAGCTTTCTAAATAGTAAATTATATTTTTATATTTATATTTTTATATTTGGATGTAACTGGGGCTGTGACTCTCAATTTCGTTCCACCTCATGTGATACGTGATGTGAATGACAATAAAGTATCTTGAATCTTGAATCTTGAATCTTGAACTAGAAGACAATGCCTGTAAATCCTTCATAGAAAAGAGTGTATGATATGGACTGAACTAAACTAATTAACTAAACTAAATCCCAACAATGCGGACTGTTTTTTTTTGTTTTGTTTTTTTACATAAAACATCATTAAAACAAAAATTATGTTATCATGACAAAATTCTTGTCATAAGAAATTTATAAAGGTAATTGATAAACGATACGATAAATCCCAAAAAGGAAAAAGAATTAAACTATAATCAATAACTCCCAAAAGTCACAGCAAACTTTTTTTTCAAAACTGACGTGTTTCCATTAAGTTAGTTAATTTTTAAATGCCAAATTCCACAGTTATATGCTTCATCTGCATCAAGCAACTGTGCTGTACAAGCCAAATTTGTATAGTCTTTGAATTGTAGTTGGGGGCCGCAAAAAAACCCGTCCAAAGGCCACCAAAGGTCCCCGGGCCGCACTTTGGACACCCCTCCGCTGATCAAAATTCTTGAAAACCAAAGGATTCAACATAATTGTGTTTTTATTGGTGCATGCATCATGGTGCATGATAAACACCAGAAGATTGTTTAACCCTATAGGGAAACAAAACAGCTCAACTAGTGTTAAACTAAACATTTAAGCATCATAATAAATAAACATCAGATACAATCTAATCTTTTCTAAACAAATCCTTACCTCCTCCTGTTGTAAACAAACACGGAAGTGAAGCTGCAACACCGACCTGAACCTCTCCTGTAAAACACGTGAATCTGCAAACAAATGCGAGAAATCACGGAAATAAAACCGATTTTCTTCGCTATATCTGCAGGTTATTGATAAAATGCCAGAGTTTTTAATCTTAAAGTGGGACGATCTAAAGTTTCCCACGGCGACATAAACAACTAAAACACATTTATTTAATCTTAGCTAACATTAAAGCTCAGGGGATGAGTCTTTGAGTTGAGTTATTTACCTGACTTGACGAAAGAATCGAGAAAAGTTATTTCTGGAGAAATTTCTGCTCCAGTTGTTTGGAAAGGCCAAAAGCTAACAGTAGCGACACAGACGGAACATCCGGTTGAAAAGACTTCAAAAATAAAAGCCCCGAGGAAAATGTCGATTTAATAACCGAAATTTCAGCTCAACTGAAAAAAATGAACAAACAAACAAAACGTGGGGCCAACCTTACCAGCAAAAAGCAGAAATACATTTAAACACAAGATTTTAATTATTTTTATTCAAATTAAAAAGCTACTTCAACTTATTTTCATTTTTAAACGGAACTATTCAAATTTCATACTACTCATGAATCATGGTTGAGGGCTGCATAAATGCATTTTGATGGGCTGCAAATGGCCCCTGGACCGCACTTTGAACGTCAATGCTGTTAATTTTGTTCAGAACCTCCCGGAAGTTGCATAATTAACCCACAAATTTTACCTTTAAATTTATTCAGTTTACTTACAAAACATTGTTTTTATCTGTAATGGTCTAGCTTCCAACGTTTTCTTTAAAAAGGCAAATAAACTGTTTATTTAAGAGTAAAAGTATTGGATTTATTTATTAACATATAATTTTTTAAAATCATTTCAAGTAAATCATTAAAAAAACTAATAAAAATCACTTAGCTGGTTGTTGAAACAAACATTTGCTGCTTTATTTTTATATCTTTGTTTTTACCATTAAAATAAAGAAGTGAAGTCACTTCCTGTCAGGACAGTCGAGTGACTGTCCTGACAGGAAGTGACCTCACCATCGCTTACTGTAACTTTACAGGTAATCAGCTGATTTCCTGCTTTGGAGCAGGATTTCCAGTTATTGACGCGGAGCTGGAGCTCCATGCTGCCCCCTGTGGAAGAGAAGAGCAAGTACACACAGCTGATATTTTGTAATCACAGCAATAATCAGAAGGAAATTAGACTTTTTTTATTTTATCCTTTTACCTTTTTGTTTTTTACATTAATCTGTTTTCATTTTTACTTTGTGTTCACGTCTGCATCTTTAGGTTGTAAATTAGTGGGATGTATTTGGCAAAACATTTAAACAAAGATCAATTAAAAATGTTCTATATTTGTTAAAAAAAAAAAACAGAACAAGGTGTTAATTTTCCAGAATAACCCTTTAATGACCGGCCTTTTTTGATGGACACTGACTCTTCTGCTTCTTTTTCATTAAAAAGCAACAGGAATAATAAAAACTCAAACATATCCAGTTTAAAAAACAATACAGGAACAGGATCTTTAAAAAACAAAAACACATTTCTATTGTAAACCTGAAAGAGAACAAATTAATGCTGTTACCTTAGCATTCACTGGACCCCTTGATTTAAATAAAAATAAAAACTTAAGTCTCTACAGGAGCAGGTAGATGCTTTGTGAAGACAAAAATCTAAATATTTACATGTTAACAAATAAAATTAACATAACTAAAACAACAGAAACTGAACAAAAATAAATTAAATACCTTAATTACAGTTACAATTAAAAATGTTCCAGTGGTTTCGAAGTTTATAAATTACCCCCAAAGTGACGATAAAGAGCAGCTTCCAGATTTACTCAGCAGAACCACATAAATAATTTAACCTGCGAGGTTCTGAACTCATCTGTTATTTCTGTTTCCCTTTAGGATATACAAAAATCAGCCTGAAAGTCGCTCTTTACCTGCATGTAAAACACTAAAATTATCCATTTTGATACCTAATGTCAACATGTGAGGCATTAAAATCTAATTCTCGTTTTAAAAAACTATTAAAACATGCTAATATTTCAGGAGCAGGAAATATTTACAGATACAGCAGTGACAAAGTCAGATGAAAAGAGTAAAAGGTGAAGACAGTAGGACGGCTCGGCGGTTAACCCCAAAGGTTTTCTGTGCGGCCGAACTTGTAGATCAGAGAGCTGCAGAGAAACGTTGTTGTTGGTTATTCAGGCATCTCAGTATGGTGGCCCAGAAGGGTCAACAAAGGCCAAATACACAACAGAATAATAAAACAGCATTTATGCTAAAACAAAAGTTATGCAAAAACTATTTTAGGAATAATGGTAAAACAGAAATCATGCTATGCTAAAATGGAGTTTATCCTAAAATGGAATTTATGCCAACACTGAAATTATGCTAAAACGGCAGTTATGCTAAAATGAAAACTATGCTAAAATGAAAGTTTACAAACTTGTTAGCATAACATAGCAAGTTATGCTTAACTTCTGTTGTGGCTTTTGCTGTAGTTTTAATTGTTTTTTCTTGTGTCGTAGCTTTTAATTTTGGTGATTTCTCTTTGCCACCTTAACTTCCTGCGTCTTATTTCTATCTCAGTGTTTTCTCATCAGCATCATTAAGCAGCAATGCTTAATGCAACAAAAACCAGCAGCCGCTTGACTTTACATCTTAGTTCCAGGTTTTACTCACCTGAAGAAGATGAAGGCGTTCTGAAAGAACACGGCCAGACCCGGAGCAACATCTTTCTCTGAGAAAAAGGGAACATCAAAGTTTTTTTTTGTTTTCAGACCACTGACATATTATTGTTAAAAGATTGTTGAAGCCACTGGAGAGTTTGATACATCACAGTACCATCAGCATAGAAGTGGAAGTTTGACCAGAACATTTAATATTTAAGATAAAATACGACACCTGATGCCGGAGGAATATCTTCAGGCAAATCAAGGCTGAGATGTCCAAATATTTTCTTCCATGGGTCAATACTTTCAAACTGAATGTACACCTGAGTCCTAATTTTATACTTTTTATTTGTGAAATATAAAGAATGAAATATTTTTTTTCTTTTGGTCAATTTTCTACAACTAAAGTTGTCAGATTTGACTAGATAGAAAATAATTCTATAAATCATTACAGTAAAGATCTTGTAAAGATCTTGACTGAAAGTGGGTTTTCGGAGGGATTCTTTTTGCATTACTGAAAGGCATAAAATATTAAAAGAATATTAAAGCAAATACTGCTTGTTATACATACAAATTTTAATGAGATTTTATTAAAATTGTGTAAAAAAATTTTTAAATTGTCTGTCTTTATCAACATTTGATCAAATTTGCTACATTCTGGAATTGCTTTTGGGGGCCGCACAAAATAATCCCAACGGTCACAAATGGACCTCGAACCATATATTGGACACCCCTATATTAAGTTAAAGGAAAAATCTGCTTCCACACAGTGAGTTAATTTATTAAAAAAAACTAAAAGCAAGTTCTGAAGAGTATATGTTGTCTTGTTTAAATCTGGTTTTTCGAAACATCTGCTAATTTACACAGAAACCTGTTTCTTTCTTAGTTTTCTGTCTGAATCAGAAGAGTAAAAACAAACAAACATGGAGGAGATGGAAGAAAACCTACTTGGCATGACGTACGCTCCGAACAGGATCCAGATGGAGCCGATGAACGACCCAAACATCATCATGAAGCCGATGAAGAGCCAGAGACGAGCGCCTGGAGTTCCAGAAACACATCAGGTTTAGAAGGATGCGACCAAAAACTGATGGGAGATTTAACTTCCCCAGTGATCAGAACCCATCAGAACCAGGGCTCAAACAACTCACCTGTCCGCCCAAGGCAGCCCTCGCCATACGCGTCTCCTCTCACCTGGCCATTGGAAACAGCGTTGATCCTGGAACAGACAGGAACAGCAGCAGCCATTAGCACCGGGGCAGCCATTACTGAACAGGACAGAATTTTCTGATACTGGTTTTACTGGGACAACCTGGGTTTATGCTACTGGTGAGGTCATCCAACCATCCATCCACTCACTCATCCATCAAAGTATGGTCTCATCCTTCCATACATCCATCCACTCATCCAACCATTCATTGTTTCATCCATCCATCAGTTTTCCATCAGTTATTTTGTTCCTCACATGAAGAAAGCGATGGTGGAAAAGACTCCACATGTGTGGAATGAATGGTTCATTATGTCCTGAGTGGGGTACATGACTGCAGCATCGATCATGATCCACCAGCCGGTGAAGAACTGCAGAAAAACAGAAACTCTGCTCAGAAACAGGAAGCCATGAAACCAATAAACTGCTATTCAGTTTAAAACACATTTGGGTGCCACTAACCAGGGATCCAGCCACCACCGAGGCCACAGCGTTCCTCCGCTCTCCCCAGTCAAACCAGTCACACTCCGGCCAGCGGAAGTTATCCAGGAAGCCAGCCATCATCCGCAGGGTTTTCTTCCCAGCGATCGATCCGTTTCTTCGGCTCGGTCCGAGTCGACTTCCTGCAGCTCCGCCTGGAAACCGAGGCTCTGAAAATATGCATGAAGACACTCAGCGGTTTAACTAACATTCTTAATTTCTATTATTCTGTCTCTAAAACTGGAATGAGCTATGATAAATAATAAAAGTAATAAAATAATTATTATTTTACAGTTTCTCAGTAAATGACTGTAAAGTCATATTTCAGCCTCTAAATGAAGCAGCTCTCAGTCAGGGTTTAGTTTCACTTTACAAAAATCCTTCTTTATATTTTAGCAACAGAAAGCTCTACTCACTTTGAAAAAACGAATTTCGACACTTAAATCCATTATTAGAGCTTTTTAATTGGATTTAAAATTAAATGTTTGGTCTGTCGGAGCGACAAATGTCTATAACCAACCTGTATTAACGTCAGAATGAGTAAATCTGCTTCATAATGTCAACATGCAGTTTAATAAACTACTACTCACCTTTATTTACCCCGATTACCCTGAAAAATACTCTGATTACATCAAATCAAATACGGAAGTTCCTGCTTCTCTGGGTCATCTTCCTTTCGTTTGTTTACGGGTGAAGAAACAACCGCAAGCGGCGCTTCCGCCCCCTGCTGGTAGATAGTGTAACTACAAGGGGTTTAAACAGGAAAATGAGATTGATCTAAATTGGCCTGCCTATAAAGTAAAAATAACTATAGTTTAATCTAGTCAAAAAGAAAATATAATTACGTAAAAACAAAAAGCTAAATATTACTATTAAGAAATATACTGCTAAAAAAGATAAATTAAAATGTAGCAGAATTAAAAGAACATAACATGTAAATATAAGGCAACTTAATATGGAATAAATAAAACTGTACAAAATAAATGAAAAAAATGTAATAGAAATAAATAAAATTATTTAAAAGAAACAATTCAAATAAATTACATTTCAATCTTAAAACATAAATTAACACAAATAAAATCATATGGATCTTGCTGATTAAAAAAATAAAAAAATTACATGTAGGCATACTTACAAAACAAATGATTAAAAAGGCAAAAACTATAACTCAATCCCAATCAGTAATTTACTGCCATCAACTTGAGCTGTCAGACTGAAGCGGCTCCTTAATCTCTCATTTCATTTAACTGTAAACTTTTAGGATTTAAACTTTCTTTAAAATTTTCAGGTTTTTTAAAACTGAATATTACAAAGTTTAACCTGGTGAATGAGCCTTTTAGGATTCATGTCTAACATTTGACAATAAAATCCAGCTGGATGCAAATCCTCAAATTTACAAAGGCATGAACGTGTTCAAAATAAAAAAGAACCACTTAAGGAGATTAAACTTCAGGATTAATTTTAATTCTTTCATTCAGTTGAGATAAAACTCTCTTTTGATTAATAGGTCAGTGGATGTATATAAAATGGGACTCAATATAAATAAAAATCAATTCTTACACTGTAATGTTTCAATAAAACATTTGACTTATCTTTCCAACTACATCTAGCTGAACAAAAACATCAGAAGACAGTCGATTTTTTCCCCTACATTTTATTTATTGACAACTTTAAACACAAATAAATCAGAAAGTGAACCATAAAAAACCTGGGTTCAGTTGCAGACAAGAATACAGGCTTAATTGTCTCGTTTCAGCCTGTTAGGCACCAGGATGAGCAGAATGATAAAGTTCTGAGCAAAAAAAAACATAAAATAAAATCACAAAGATAAACACAGATTCGTACAAACGTGACTGATCCAGTGGAGAAAACAGTTCAACACATTCTGGCTGCTGGATCTGAATCCAGGTTTTCCATTATTGAATCCGACTTTGGCGGGATATGATGGCACGTGAGGATCCAATCCACCTCATCCCAGTAACCGCCATTTTAGTTCACTGGAAGAGGAAGTCATCAGGCAGCTAAGACTCCGAAAAATAAACAATAAGCGACCCCCCCATTTTCCAGGAACACAGAATCACTGGGACAGAGGATAATTTCCTTTTTGTTTTGACTGTAGGAACCGTTCTGGTAAAATAAAGACACAAAAGAATGTTGAACGTCCCGAGAGCGCCCTACTTCCGGGTCGCTGACTTTCAAACTAAAAGCATGCAGCTATAAACTAACAGGAAGCAGGAAAATCAGTGAAAGTGGAGAGATTCATGGATCCTTTTGAGGATGTTTCAGTGATTGCTCTGTGGCCAATAAAACTGTTAGCGTGCACAGCTATGAGCCAAAAACATTAAAACCACAGTGTAAAAACAAAGTCCAGTCCGACTCACTTTGGGACATTCAGAGGAAAAAACAACTTAATTTTATAAATATAAAAACCAGGGAGTTGATTAGATTCTTACTGCATTGACTGGACTTTAATTGGTGAGGATTTCTGTCGGGATCACAGGTCGGAGGTAACTAGTTACATTTACTTGAGCAACTTTAGAAAAAAAAAGTAGTTTTAAATAGAAAAGTATATTTTGTAAAAATGTTTCATCTGCTTAAATCTATTTTTATTTACTTATAATTTATCCGTAATTCCATAATTGAAATGTATTTTTTATACGTTTTGACTGATTCTTCCATTTCTAAATATTAAATCAGATATTCTTACCAGCTACTCAGTAGCCTTTTAATTAAATACTCATTTACTCTTACTTGAGCCATTTCTTGGATGCTTCTTTTTACTTTTACTTGAGTAAAAATATTTTTAAGCAGTGCTACTCTTAATTGGGTAGTTTCTGGCTCCTCTACCCAAATTTGGTCCGTCTGAACGAGTGCTGATGAACCTGGGGAAGCCTCAGTCCAGCTAATCTTCAGTATTTAACAGAAATATCAACATTAAAAAGTGCCATCAGCTGCTGGTTGAGGCCTGGTTGTACAGAACCTCCTCCATTTTCCAGACCTGAACAGTTTCACTTGCCAGGACAAAGTTAGGAGTGCTCCTCCATGAAAGAAGAAGATTTACAGATTAATTCTGTACAGTTTTTAGTCTCAGCAGGAAGCGAAGGTCCGACTCCTCTGGTCTCAAATGGAGAAAAAACGGAAACATCGTTGAGATGTTCCTCTGTGGGAATCATGGCCACGGGCAGGTAGTTGTGCCCCGCAAGCTGTTCTATGAGCATCTGGAGGACAGAAGGTGATGATCAGTCAGAGTGGACACGAAGAAGAAAAACCTTTTTAAAGTTTGAATGAAACCAGATAAACTGTTACAATTTAAAGAGCCATTTTTACCTACAGACTAACCAAATAAAACTCATTTAACCTGCAAATGGTGCACCAATGCACCAATTGGCATCCCCACAGAAAGCAAAGTTCACACATTTTTCTCCCTTTCATGTTTGTTCTAATGCTCCTCTGAATCTTCCCCTCAAAACTGGAAAGCAAAGTTGTCTTTAACCTCTCGCATCTATGACATCACACATCGTACACACAAAGATTCAGGTAACACTTTATCTGTGTGCATAAGACTGAGATGAAACTGTCATAAACACGACATAACATCTGTCATGATCATGAAGAAGTCTTTGACTGTTGTCATGAAGTGTCATTCGGTAAATAACGACACTTTTAATGCAAAGTTGCTCTAAAAGTTGCATTAAAAGTCCATTAAAAATGCCAACTTTGCATGGTTTTGTAAGTAATGCCAATTTAATGCAAAGCTGGCATTTTTAAAAGTGAAAAAGAAAAATAGATATAAAGAGCACAAATCTTTCTCATAAGAAAAAAAAAACAAAAACAAACAAACTGATGTCCAACTTCCTGTTGAAAAAACGAAGCAGATTCTCACCGGTGGCATCGTGTACGGAGGTTGGAGGATCTCTTTGATTTTCTTGAATTTGAAGAGGTGGACGTAGGCATAAACAACTAATAGAACGATCCCCGAAAGGACGATGCAGATGACAATGATCTGCGTCTGTTTTGATCCACCTGCGGAGAAAACAGGCCCTTTTTAATAAATAAGACAACACCGACCCTGGTGGTACTCCATAATCATCTTCAATCATCCTGGGTTTCATCCTACATAAAGTATGCGACTTTATCCAGTTAATGAAAAGTTAAAATGGGGCAGAAAACAACTGTAGTGGTAAATTGCAGGCCCTTACTGGAGCTAGGGATGGTTTCACACTGCATACAGCTGGCTGGACCGTATTCCTTATAACGAAAAACAAACTGCACCGTCACACAGTACGTCTCACCCACTTCCAAGCCATCGATCAACTGTGAGGACAAGGTGACACTGTGTTCCTGAAAACAACAAAAAGAAAAGAAAAGCAGAGTTAATAGTTGAGTTAATGAGAATATCTGGTGATAAAACATTTCACTCTTCACCTTCGGTTGCTCTCCTTTTTTCCAAAAGTGGATCGAATGTTTCAGGTTGTCTGCAGTCTCCTTATGCAGACTGTGGCTTCTCTTCAGGATGACTGTGAGGGATTCAGGCGCTGCGGTCAGAGTGAAGTTCGGAGCGCACGGATGGCCTGGAAGAGACGGGAATACTGGTTGGATTCAGTCCGTTAACGACCCGAGACTCTGAGCTCAATCAATCTTCAGAAATTATAAACTTATCATGACATTTTCTTCTCGTTAGTATGGCCCGACACAGAGCCTTAACTCAATCAACAGCTCAGTTATGAAATAGATCCGTCACTTTGGGTGTTTTGAGGATTTTCACACCTGTCGCATCGTGTGAACCACGCCGGTCTGAAGGTTAACCACAGCTAAAAGCAGACAAACTAGGTTTTCTTTTGTTTCTTTTTTGATGTGCGTCGGGTCGTTGGTATCCTCCTGAATTTCTTCCAGTTCTGAACAGTAACAAAAGGTTTTGTTGTGGTTTATTACTCGCACCTGTCCAACCAGTATTTATGTACCATTTTACATTATTTCTTCGGCTCAGTTGTGGTGTACCTCAGGGTCGAGTCCTCAGACTCTTTTTTTCTTTACCATTTTGTGCATTTGATACTAATAAAACGAGGCCAAAATCTATCATCCATCATCTTCTCCTTAAAGTTGCAGTTTGTAACTTTTATAAACAATATTTTTTAACATATTCATTGAAACTGTCTCTATGTCATGACAGTATGAGACAGACAATCTGTGAAAAAAAATTTAGCTCCTCTGCCTTCACCCAGGGCCAACTAAAAACAACCAATCAGGGCCAGGAGGATAGTCTTAGTGCTGTTAATCACCCTCAGAGTGGTGTTGCTCATCCCTAAAGCTTCTTCCTGATAGCAGAGCTTGTTGTAAACTCTAACGGCTAGCTAGTTAGCATAGCCACCTATTACATAGATAAACGGTTTTCCCTTAAAAGTAAGTAGTTTCTCTGCCATTGGCATAATTATAAGCGAGCACATGAGGTTGATAGACAACACTAGGAACCTGGCTCTGATTGGTTGTTTTTGGTCGGGAGCGGTGCATTATTCAGATGATAGTAGTAGCTCAAGGAGGAGTTGGATGAGATCAATCTTTTCAAAGATTGTCTGTCATATATTCTGCGGTCATTTTAATAAATAGGGAGAAAAAAAATAGTTACATACTGTAGCTTTAAATTTGATTTTTAAAATGCTGGTTATGCTAAAAAAAAACTTTGATTTGGGGGTTTTCTTTTCAGATTTGTTTGCAGAATCAAAAATCTGCAAAGAAAATTCCTCAACAGTGATGAAAAAAGCTCATTACCAGTTATACTAAATGCATGATATCAAGCAGCCATGTTGGTTTGAATACATTTCTTCATTGACAAATAAAAACATCCCTTGAAAACTACATTTTTATCTACTCAGGTTATGTTTAATGATCTGAAACATTTACGTATGCCAAGAAGGAAAAAAATAGAGCAGATTTATGTTGCATAATTATTCCATGCAGAAAAATAAAAAGTTATAAAGAACAACTGGAAAATTCCAGGTGATCAAAGTTTAACCGAACAGCTGCAAACATCTGGCTTATTACCGTCTCTGCTGCAGGCCTCCACAGGCTCAGACTTAGTCCTGTTTCTCCAAGCTGTAACACGATACTGAATGCAGCTGCCGTCCAAACTCAAATCACAGGAAGTGAAGCGCGTGTCTTTGCACGTCTCTATGGGCATCCAATCCGACTCAAACCTGAGGACAAAAAAGGACCAAAAACAACCAAAATGTTAGAAAATACACCCGCGATGCATTTATGAAATACTCAAAAAATCTAAATCTAATAATTGAGAATCTAAAATATATAACTACTTCTCATTTCCTTCAGTTCTATATTGATCTAATACATTTATTATACTTTATTTTATCCTTATTTTTCCTGCAAGTTAATCTTTATTTTCCCCCTGATTTTTTAACTGATGTCATATCTGATCTGTTCCTGTTTCTCTTTGAGTTTTATTTAATTAAATTTATTTAATTCATTCAATAATATGAAGAATTCATGTCACAATTAAAAGAAATCATGAATGAAAAGGAGCAGAAAAAAGTGCAAACTTATAATGTTCACATAAACTAAAACGAGTTATTCAACTCAGAAGCCTACTACAAACATATTTCTAATACACAATAAATAAAAATACACATCAAAGATCAGCTTATTCAATGCTATATTGCTTCATCATAATTATTTTCATTTAAAAACATAGAGACTTACTTTGTTTAATCTCACTGTCAAAATTATTCCATAAACTGAAAACTTTAATTGAAATTAATCTTTCCATCGTCACCATTCTAAGATTTTATTCTGCCACAAAGTTAATATCGTTTTCAATTCAACATTTTCATCCAATTTTATTTTGATTTCCACCAAAAAATAATCTGGTTTTCACCTGTTCCAAATTAGACCATCTCCTAATTCTACCTGAATTTATGTCAGATGTTTTCTTAAAACATATCTGGATTTTATCCTGATTTCATCTCCATCTTGTTCTGATTTTACCCAAATTGTTTCTGGATTCTTATCCAGACTTTGTTCCTGATTTTAATTGCCATCATCCCACATTAGCAGAACTTTTCCAGCAGAACTCACTTGCGAGACTCGACTGTAAACGTCACGTCACTCTCTGTTGAGTTCCAGTTCAGTTTTGATTGGCTGATCACAACGTTGTTTGGCGGTGGCGTCTTAACAGCATCTGAAGAAAATAAACATTTTATTGTCAAAACATGAATCAAAACCATGAATAAAATATCCAGATTTTAGCCCAGGTTTCTCCTGGCTTCTCTGGATCTTATCTTGGCTTTTATTAATCCTTTATTTTACTCTATTATATTAAAATTTTATCATTAATTAAGCCCGGTTTTAATGCCGTTTATCGCCTTATTTTATTTTGGATTTGTTGTCATTTCATCTTGGCTTTACCTGGAATATATCTTATATGTATCCTGATTATATTCCAAAATTTTCGCAGCTTCATAATCAGACGATATTCAGATTTTATCCAGCTTTGTTCTGGCAATGACTTAATCCTGAAATTATCTCCGTTTTATTCTGCTTTTACTTTGATTTAATTCTTCTGTTCCTGATCTGGTTCGGGATTTTTATCCTTTCTTGACCCGAATTATTTCTTAAATGTCTTCTGTTTGTATCTTGACTGTTATCCAGATTTTAATCTCGTCTTTTTTCTAATTACATCATGATTTTTACCTGGATTTTATTCCTATTTTTTTTCTGACAGTATCTTGATTTCAATCCTGCCTTTTACAGGAATTTTTATGATTTTATCTTTTCTTATATCTGGATTATACTTTAAATGCATTGTGAAACGTAATTCTGACTTAATCTATGCTTCACATTGACTTTTTGTTGTTATTAAATCCTGTTTTTACCCAAGGTATTTTTATACCTTAAAATAAGGTATAATCCAAGTAAAATCTGGCATTTCCCATTGGGCATCAATAAATTATATTCTATTCTATCCTGACATTTATTCTTAATTTATCCTTTTTCTGGGTTTTATGAAGTCTTTGGTTTTATTAATTATTATTATTATTATTCCAAAAACACTTCAAAACTGTTTGATACGCTGAAAAAAAAAAAAAAAAAAAAAAAAAAAAATTTTTTAAAAAACCAAAAAAAAAAAAAAACGGAATTTTTTTTTTTTCCCCTCCAAATTTTTTTA